ACTCATCATAGACAATGATCTGGAAATTTAAAAACAACGAATTGCATTTTTTTTTTAAACCCAGTGATTTTTCTCGACATGTGAGAGAGATTCGACAAAAAGCACCTTGCTGAGTCTGATTCTTGGGGAACAACTTCTCCCTGACTCCTTTCTTACCACTTCTTCTATTATCTGCGAACTACAAAAACCCCAAGGCTAGTAGCTCACTACAAGGACGAAGATCCTGAAACAGGCCTTTTCTCAAAGATTATCCAACTTTGCGAGATGGCTGCGCACTCTCAAGATGTACAAGGTTCAGTTTTTGATAAGATTGAGATCATTTCGCCGAACAACTTACTTAAGGTTGGTGATTAGCAAGCTAAGGGTATGAATTGTAAATTGTGAGCTGAGGGTTGCTAAAAGCTTCCATCTAGCAATATTTTTGGCAAATTGGGTCTTGCAATATAATGTTGATGAACGGATTAGCTTTGACACCTAACATATATCGTTTTCGTTCGCAATCTAAACCTTTAGGAGCATTGGTGTAGCTTGATTTCTTGATCAGAAAAACGTCTATAAATGTTTCAACAACAACAATTACAAAAATACTTATTAAGAAAAGAATAATTTAACCTGTTTTAAGATTCATTAACCTCTCATCGTTATGTTTACTAGGAAAGAATCGTTGTAGTTGACAGTCCAGGATTTGAAAAATCATCCATCGTGGACGAGAAAGTAAAGGCGTACCTGTCTGAGGCTTTCGCAGTTCTCTGCGTCATTGACAGTTCAGCACAGCAACAAAGGGTAAGCTGCATGGACAGGTGGAGTTAACGCACCCGAACTGTTTCCATAGCAGGGATTATAAATATTTTGTTATTATCATTATTATGATTATTATTATAAGATTATAAGATTATTATTATAGTTACCGCGAAGGAATTTTCAACTCCATGTGCACGTTTGCCCTTAGATGCAAGAAACAATAAAAAGATGCAGAAGAGTATGTCTTGACCATCTGGAAACCTCCTCAATTTTTCCTCTTTTCCTATGTAACAATCGGGACCAATTATCTCAACAAGAGGCTGATTCCATCAAACATCACGTTGCCAGGAAACTCAGAGAATATTGGCCTGAATTAGACCCAGATTCCCAAATCATTTACATTTCATCGCCTTATGCCACAAACGATGACACAGCTGTCGCGGAGTTTGTGTCGCTGATGGATGCTGTTAAATTCACCGCCTTGCAAAGCAATCAAGCAACGCTGCAAATGCAGTGGAGGTACGTTCTGTTATGACTATGAAGGATCTTAAAAAGCTGCGTGAGGCTATTATGGCCTCAATTTACACCTTAAGTGATGCTCTATTTTAATTGCATTCCTATCTCATTAAAAAGACCAAGTTATGTTGCCCACTTGTCTTGATTTAACGAGGCTCACTCATGTGCACAGTGAAAACTAGAATTTACATATACGCAAAGGCATAGAACATTGTGGCGTTTACTTCTCTTTATGTTACTTATGTGAAAGTGCTTTATCGAGAAACTTTGGGTAAAAGCCGAATTCCTTAACGCCTAGATACGCTCAAAATCGCCACAATAGGAATGAATTTCTTTCTAGTTTGTTATCAGACTTCCTTATGTCTTGAAGTTTCGCCCACATGGAATGATAAAGAATAAGTTCAATGAACATTTTGCTGAAAAATGAACTTGAAGTTTGTATACTTTCATCTCTCATGATCAGGTGGCTTGACTTGGCCATTTCACGTATGGCCTACCACATGAAAATGGTCATGAATCCTTGCCCTTCCACCGATCGTAAAATCGTCTCTTCACATTCTGAAAGCTTTCGTATAGTTGAGGGGCGGCTGTCCTCAGATGAATACGAGTTGCAAGAGTATTTCAGAGAACTGGCATACAGCGCCGTTAGGGTACTGTCCAACCACCTCCAGTCTTGCGAAGTTATGGAACAATTTACCTCGTGGACGATTGATGACATTCCACACGCTGGAGAAAGTTGGGAGGTGACCGAACATATTATCCAAGATGCATTTATGAGTCGACTTCAGACCACGATTGCCGCGTGGGAAGAAAAAAACCAAATTTTATCCTACACTCGCAGATCTGTGGTCCAATTGTCCCACAAGCGATTTGATAAAACTAAGAGTCTACTGCCTCTCCGATACCTAAAGAACTCCGTCATCACGGATGCTGGTGTTAGTGGATCACATACTTGCCAGTCTTCAAATGACTTCAGCGCGGCCCAAAAAGTTATGATCGGGCTGACAAGTCCAATTTGGGTTCCGGTCGGCCTGGCAGTTCTAGTTGGCAGCGTCCCATTCATGGGTGTCATAAGACTTAAAGAGAAAGTAACAAATTTGAAACGTTCGAGAAAATACGAAAAAGACAAACAAAGTTTTATCGTGCAAGCCTCCCGTGAATAACTTCGCAAGATGGTTCAAGAACAACAGCTTTGGTTGTTCGTGGAGGAGGAGCTCAAAGATGTTAAGGTTTACATTACGAGAGCTTCATCTTGTTTGCGTGAGCTCATAGCCGCTGACAAAATACTATGTCAGCTGCTCAAAGATGAGACTCGCTCTGGGAAGGACATAAAGAAAAATATGGCCCTCTAGGAGAGATGAGTATTAGAGAAAAAGAAAAGATGGCCCTCTTTTTCATTAAAGAATTACAGAGCATGGAAATAAGTCGTAACGACTTGGAGTGGGATCGAGACGATCCAACTTCACTTCTTGGAAATGGAGAATTCGCTTCAGTTTATCGAGGAACATTCATGTTACCTGGACAGAGCGAACCAACACAGGTGGCTGTGAAATTATGGAGTAAAGAACTAAACGAGTCCACCGCGATTGGCTTCCTTTCTAAGACAGAAACACTGAGGTTAGTTAATGAAAAAAGAGGGCTGTCTAAAGAAGAATTTAATAGGATTTGACAACTATAGAAAATTAGATACTTTAGTTAGATCGTAATGATAACAAAGCAGTTGAAAAACGCCGAAATATTCAGGTACTTTGAAATCTTATCGAATTTGAATAAAGGTCAATGCAATTATATCTTTTGTAGGAAGCTTGGCTCTCCCTTTTTTGTCAAGTTCTGTGGAACAGCATTGCTGAAGGAAGGCGATCAATTGCGCGTGATACATGCTTTGGAATTGTGCAAGGAAAACTTGATGAATCATATTTTTCAGAATCCTGAAAACATTCCTGAATCGTCTGGAAAAACATCCGCCAAGAATAAGGTGCTGTGTTGGGCAAAGGACGTAGCTGCTGCCATAGAGTTTATACACAACCAGGGTATTGTTCACCGCAACTTCAAGCTGGAGAAAATTTTGGTGAGTTTCAAATATGTCTGAATTTAATCTTTACATTTGCTTCAATCTCAGTCTGCTTGTGAGGGTCAGTTCATCATTAATTATCTAATACGTTAGTCAAATAATTAAGAGTTACAAATTAAATGTAATAGTTGTTAAGATCCGCTCAAGTACGTTTTAATCAATAGTTCACGGTGTCAAGTGACGAACTGTGGATGCTATTGGTCAATTTTGCGGAAGGGGCCTTGTAGCTCTTAAAAGACCCGAAAATATTTTTGGGTCATAGCAACTGTGCTCATATCATTCACCTCTTTTTAAAGCTTTCTCAAAGAAATGTCGTTAAGGTCTCTGTTTTTCGCCTTTCTGAAGAGGCTAAGATCATCGCAGACACCATGACGGGAAGCGA